ATAGAGATCTTTTTCTGTCGTTATGTTTTGGATTAGGATTAGTGTTTTAGGTAGGGTCCAGGTTTGGCTTAGGTCAGTTCAATGTTTTATCAATGGTTAGTGATAACGTCAGCATAGAGTAGACAAATAAATAAGTTTTTGTTTGAACTTAGCTGGTTACTGAAACTAGTTTTCTGGATGTGTTCAGTTCCAGAAAATATACATGTAGAGCTACTAGTAAGGTACGGCTAACCTGAAGTACAACATTGGGTAGCTGATTTACAGTACCGTAGCATCTACGCACACCATCACAGGGTACGGCTAACCTGAAGTACAACAGTGGGTAGCTGATTTACAGTACCGTAGCATCTACGTACCCCATCACAGGGTACGGCTAACCTGAAGTACAACAGTGGGTAGCTGATTTACAGTACCGTAGCATCTACGTACCCCATCACAGGGTACGGCTAACCCAACACGAACCGTGTGGGGGGGGGGCTGATTTACAGTACCGTAGCATCTACGTACCCCATCACAGGGTACGGCTAACCCAACACGAACCGTGGTGGCTGACGCTGCTACCTGTTACTGGGACTTCTGCCTCAAGGTATTTACACGGGAGAGCACGTGTTTGACCTAGAACACAGGTAAGCCGTGCTGTTGCAGGTAAGATCGCGTGAGCAGGGAGGGTTAGCGGCTCGACATCTTTCGTGAGTTTACAACAAGGCCAAGCGATGACAGCTAATCATTTGTAAAAGTAATTAATTACTCGCCTTGATAAATTATGTGTTTCGTGTTTATCATCTGTTAGTTAACTGAAGAACATTAGGACGCGACTACCATTCCGCATAAGACCCAGATACAGAGCCCAGTACCTCGACTACACTTCCCTATAGGACCCATAGATAGGACCCAGACTTAGGACCCATATGTAGGACCCAGACAAAGGACCCAGACTTAGGACCCAGATATAGGACCCAGACATAGGACCCAGACATAGGATTAGGACCCAGACATAGGACCCAGACATAGGACCCAGACATAGGACCCAGACATAGGACCCAGACTTAGGACCCAGACTTAGGACCCATATATAGGACCCAGACATAGGACCCAGACATAGGACCCAGACTTAGGACCCATATATAGGACCCAGACATAGGACCCAGACATAGGACCCAGACATAGGACCCAGACTTAGGACCCAGACATAGGACCCAGACTTAGGACCCAGATATAGGACCCAGGCATAGGACCCAGACATAGGACCCAGACATAGGACCCAGATATAGGACCCAGACATAGGACCAAGACTTAGGACCCAGACTTAGGACCCAGACATAGGACCCATATATAGGACCCAGACTTAGGACCCAGATATAGGACCCAGACTTAGGACCCAGACATAGGACCCATATATAGGACCCAGACTTAGGACCCAGATATAGGACCCAGACTTAGAACCCAGACATAGGACCCATATATAGGACCCAGACTTAGGACCAAGACATAGGACCCAGACATAGGACCCAGACATAGGACCCAGACATAGGACCCAGACATAGGACCCAGACATAGGACCCAGACTTAGGACCCAGATATAGAACCCAGAATTAGGACCCAGATATAGGACCCAGATATAGGACCCAGACTTAGGACCCAGATTTAGGACCCAGACATAGAACCCAGACTTAGGACCCACATTTAGGACCCAGACATAGGACCCAGACTTAGGACCCAGATTTAGGACCCAGACATAGGACCCAGACATAGGACCCAGACTTAGGACCCAGATATAGGACCCAGAAATAGGACCCAGACATAGGACCCAGACATAGGACCCAGACTTAGGACCCAGATTTAGGACCCAGACATAGGACCCAGACATAGGACCCAGACTTAGGACCCAGATATAGGACCCAGAAATAGGACCCAGATATAGGACCCAGGCATAGGACCCAGACATAGGACCCAGACATAGGACCCAGATATAGGACCCAGACTTAGGACCCAGACTTAGGACCCAGACATAGGACCCAGACTTAGGACCCAGACTTAGGACCCAGACATAGGACCCAGACATAGGACCCAGACATGGGACCCAGACATATGACCCAGACATAGGACCCAGATATAGGACCCAGACATAGGACCCAGATATATGACCCAGACATAGGACCCAGACATGGGACCCAGACATATGACCCAGACATAGGACCCAGATATAGGACCCAGACATAGGACCCAGATATATGACCCAGACATAGGACCCAGACATAGGACCCAGACATAGGACCCAGACATAGGACCAAGACTTGACTTACCCAGAGGACAGACTACAGCTAAATAAAGAGAAAAAAGATGAGTATTAAAAATGATTACTTTTATATTGGACTTAATTCCTCTTCCCCGAAGCAAAATATCTGAAAGAAACACCGCCTCACTTCCGCTCTCCCCTCTCCCCCCCCCCCCCCCTTCACCACCTTTATCCACTTAACAATGAAAGACAGACGAAAGGTATTCTTTTCAACTGAATGCTGAGCTCCTGACGTATCATTGTTCAAGGCTGATCTCTCATCGACAACCCGGGGTTACCCAATACAAGCCAGCTGCTTTAGGCTGATCAATGGCAGCTGTTTGACGACAGGGGCGTGTCTAGGACAAATGGATAAGGGAGGTACTTAACTTTCTTTACTGTGGCTATTTGTGTCTACGCCGATGGTCAATTACTCGAATTCGAGTTGGTAAGATGCTTAGGTTTCCGCCTAAATCTCATTGGTATCAATATTACTATATAGCTATACATAGAACTGATCATACACTATATCTTTATATGTCAAGGTCAAAATAATAGAAGAACTCTACTTCATCTGCCATAAGGACGGCAAGATCTGACATTGTATATTACTCTTATCAAACAGTAAGACATGAGAATGCTTAAGTTAAACAAATGTATTATTATATTTTATCAAGCTATTAGAGTTGGTAGAAACGATAAGGTTGGATAAAAGATACGAAACAAGACTAAGTTATCAATGATTCTCCCACATGTAAGATACGCCTCTGATAACACAAAGAGAACAATGCTTAGATACGAATGGCTAACACTTGTAAGATACGCCTCTGGTAACACAAACAGAATACAACTAAGCTAAAAATGACTATACACTAATAAGACACGCCTCTGGTAAAACTAATAGAACAAGACTAAGCTACTAATGACTCCCCCACTCATAAGACACGCCTCTGGTAACACATCACGCCGTGTATTACCATCCCAGCATTGTAGACAAGATAATTAGATAACGCCGTGTGCCAAGTCAGGAGATAAGCGGGTTACACATAACTACATTATACACAGACATACACACGTGTACACATAACTACATTACACACGTGTACACATAACTACATTACAAACGTGTACACATAACTACATTACAAACGTGTACACATAACTACATTACAAACGTGTACACATAACTACATTACACATTAACACACACGTGTACACATAACTACATTATACACAGACATACACACGTGTACACATAGTTGCATTATACTCAGACATACACACATGTAATCAAAACTACATTACACACAGACATACACAGATGTAAACAAAGCTACGTTACACATAGACATACACAAATATGCTCATACACACAAGTCACACGCACACACATCACTCATACTAACGAATGCATGTATGTGCAAATGTGCGTACATTCATAATAAATACAAATATAACCACATACAGGATGAGCACCTACACACTTACACACACTATCATAACATTCACATATGCAGGAATAACATCCACATATGCAGGAATAACATCCACATATGCACCGATAATACCCAGATACACTAACCTACTTACCCTGACCTTAACCCCAGCAGAAAACGACATCCTTGAACCTAATTTACCACGCCCCTTACCCTCTTTGACACTTACCATGACCCTACCCCTGTATCACCCTGGCCCCATTTTAACACTTACCATGACCCAATCCCTGTATGACCCCCTGACCCCCCCCCCCCATATAGCACTTACCATGTCCCAACCCCTGTATAACACCCTGACCCCCATATAGCATTTACCATGTCCAAACCCCTACATAACACCCTGACCCAATATAAACTTACCATAACCCTACACCTGAATGCCACACTGACCCCCATATAACACTTACCATGACCCTACCGCTGTATAACACCCTGACCCCCCATGTACACTTATCATGTCCCTACCCCTGTATAACACCCTGACCCCCCATGTACACTTATCATGTCCCTACCCCTGTATAACACCCTGACCCCCATATACACTTACCCTCACCCTACCCCTGTATAACACCCTGACCCCCATATAACAATTACCATGTCCCTACCCCTGTATAACACCCTGACCCCCATATACACTTACCCTCACCCTACCCCTGTATAACACCCTGACCCCCATATAACACTTACCATGTCCCTACCCCTGTATAACACCCTGACCCCCATATACACTTACCCTCACCCTACCCCTGTATGACCATCTGACCCCCATACATCACTTACCCTGTCCCAACCCCTGTATAACACCCTGACCCCCATATACACTTACCATGACCTTGCCTTACCACTGTATGACACTTACCCTGACCCTTAACCTGTCTTACACCTGTTAACCCTGACCCCAAGCTTGTAATGACACCCTGACCCTTACCCTAACTCACTGTCTGACACCTCGCCCTGGCCTTAACCCTTCCAGCGACGCCGGTAGTAAACAATCCACGATCAATAATCTCCCTGCCGGAGAACTTGCCTGCACCTAATACAAACCTAACGGTTACCATGACAATCAAATAACTGTTCTATGGTACAATTAATCATCAAATCTCCAATGAATCTATTTTGAAAAAAATAATTCTTTTTTTTTTAAATCTACCGCTTTTTTTTTTTTTTCACGCGGCCCTATCGCCTGACCTCAATATAAAAGCAACAGCAGACGGCGAAATTCCCTCATTCGCTGATTCTCACTTCTGCCATCCTTACAGCGGGCGTGAGAGAGAAGTGTTGTCTCGCCACAGACCTGTAGTCTACAACGTAATTGTTTTTTTGTGTTTTTTTCCTAATATTAAGTAAACTATACAGTGTGTGTATCTGAGTTATCAGACTTAGATCAATAACATAGTTTGACCAGCCTTCGTCAGCAGATAAGATCGTAACACAGTCCACCATCATGGTAAGTAAAGTAACTTTAATTTTTTTTCTTAACATTGTACCAAAAAAGATTAAAATATTTCATTGACTTAGATCTATAATTTTACTAGTAAATGTATTATTATAGGCAAGTCTGATTTAATATTTTAGTGTTGTATTACATTATGTATTATTTCACTTCATTAACTTATATTTATGTAATGATTCGGATAATCATTATATTTTTAGTTCCGCGCAATGGTTCTCAACGGGAGATTTTTGTACCCCATGTTGCATCTTAGGTGATCTAAACATGCTTTTAACAAAATGGCGATATTATGGCATGTTGAATAAAATATTATTTTAAAGAACACTAGTGTAACGATGTATTTTCTTAAAACAGAACATTTTTGCTTGTAAAAAAACAATAAGACGTGTTTTATTCTGGTTGCACTATGCCGATAGGTGGGGCTGGGATGGTGGGGGTAAGCAGACGGTAATTCAGGTTCAAAAGTCACTGTGACATGCGATGACTAGGGCCAGTCACCGGTTGTATCCAGAACCCGGTGAGTTATGTTAGCGAAGAGGATTGTTTACTGCCAAAAACCACGTCCGGCCTTGTACTCTAGCGTGTAGTAGCCATGTGTGATGGTTAGTCCAATAGACGGGAGGCCAACACATGCACAGGTCAACTAGAATAGGCCTAGTCTGGAGGCTAGGCTTAGACTGTATTATACAACGTCATGCTGTTACTCTGTTACTGAGGAATCAATAGAGCGGCACATGTTTAGAATTTTTATCTTCCGTTCATTCCCTTTAATATGTTCGGGTTTAGAAGTTATTTATACCATTATTTTTGTCTTGACCCACTTTCTCGCCCAAAACAAAATCACGTGGCGCAGTGTAAATTAAAAATTGTTCTCAGATGTGCCGGTGTCTCGCTGCATCTCTATTTTTTTGTAATGAGGGATCTATTAATGTTGGATAGGAATAGATCTAGACTCCAATTGCTGTTTTACGTTACATTATATTTTTTTAACCACTCCTATAAAAATATTATGTTAAAGTTTACAGTGTTGACTCATGCTCCGTAGCAGTGTTTCTTGCAGACTTTTTTCTCGGGGGGGGGGGGGGGACGGACACTGTTAAAAGTATATATTTTCTATATAAATTATATAAATTTCATTTCGTCGGGGGGGGGGGGGGGTTAACTCAGGTTTTTTTGTACTAAAGATTAACGTTAGCAGATTTTTAATTCTTTTCTTTTTTTTTATCGTTGTACATTTTGTATTTCTATTTACCACCATTTAGTTTCAAGCTTATCGGATAGACTCAATGCTATAAAACGAAAGTTGCCAGTATTACCTTTTTAAAATCCGGGTATAAAGTGGCTGAAGTGTTATAAATAGACAGCCAGTTAAAGGGGGTGGGGGAAGGAGAATATAATACCAGTGGGCGTCGTCTACTACGTTGTAGTGAGAAAAATAGTGTTATGCCCAACTACTGTAATACGCACTATGGTGTCAATAACTGTCACACATCTAAGCGGGTGGGGGGGGGGGTTAGACTTCAGTGATGCTACGTACAAAAGGGGAGGGGAATGCTAGCAAATGTATGGTAATTTTAATTTGTACTTGGAATTTAATGGTGTAGAACAGGGGTCTCCAAACTTTTCAGTCCGAGGGCCGCATTAACTATCAATTTTCAGCTCGGGGGCCAGTTAGTTCCAGGCATGTCTTTGATTTTTCTGGGCAAAGTTCCTCAGCCATCAACAACAAACGTTTTTCCGTGGACAAAAAGATCTCCGCGGGCCGGATGAAAGGACATAGTATTAGTATCAGTAGCGTACGCAGGGGGGGGGGGGGAGCAGGGGGAGCGGCCGCTCCCCCTCTGGCCATTTTCAGCAAAGTGGCGCCTTTTTGGAAACTTTTTAAACTCAAAGTTTTAAACAATAATATTTGTTAAAAACATTTTTTTGGTCGGCACATCTATGTAAATCACAAGATTTCTTTTCATGCAGCAATTAAGCATTATTGTACTAGTCTAGTAGTGTCTACGTTTACAACACGTATTTACAGCTGCATCAGTTTGCCATTTTAAAATAACAATTACAATGAATTGCAATGTTTAAAAAGCCTCTACGGGTAGAACCACTTTGCAAGAGGGGTGATAAGTTTAAGGCAACTGTATAATGTATTTGCTTACGAATAATTGAATTAGAAAATGTTATACATAAAACTTCACACATAATTACTTTATATATACAGTTTAAATCGTGTGATTAATTTTTTTAAAAATTACAATACAGAAACAAATACAACTGATGTGGCACCTCTATTTAAATTTACTTATGAGCAAACTGCGTAGTGGTGGGGAAATTTTGACAAGGTCAACAACGTCATCACGATGAAGTAGTAGTATTCTTACAGTTTGGGCGATAGTGATTACGATTACAAATTATATGAAACAGTTACAACCCCCCTCCCCCATGGACCCCTCTGTAAAAAAAATATTGTCATAATACCACTGCTACATATTTATATCTATGTCTGTAATATATATTTGTGTAATATACATTTGTGTAATATATATATGTATGTTTAGAACAGTCATCTAAAAACTGACGCTATGTTCACTCTGGGTTGGTTATCTCTCCCCCCCCCCCCCCCCCCACACACACACCTCACCACCACAATTGTGTAGAGCGACATTAATGTCACACCTAGGTATACACTGGGGTGGATAATTGGCCTAAAGTGAACGACAGTGGTGAATGAAGTTGAACTCACCCCCACCCCAACCCACCCCGAACTGATCTGTTAAGTACATGTAGAAAAACGCGTAATGATGTACCAAAGTACCTTGCCGCCAGAAAACTCTGTGAATATTGTTTTGCAATTACCAGTAAAAAGGTATGTGATCAATACAGTGATCTAACCCATAACTATCACTATGTTAAAAAATGATCTTTAAAGAACTTAAAGAAGCAGTAGTTAATTAAAAATATATCATCTGAACTAAAGAGACTGATATTTAGTTAAATGTAGGCTGTTATTTCGAATACTCTCTAATATAATGAAAAGCGTGGTTTTATACCAACTCTGATTTTAAAAACTTTCATCATGCTGTAATACTTTAGCATTTATGATAACGATATAGTAAATTCCGATTATAGACAAAAACATTTTGTAAACACGAATAGTGTTAAACAATTTCATTATATTCTAAATTGATTATTTATTTGTTTTAACATTTATAATTAAATGTGCAGATATATACATATTTATATTAAGAGAGTGATTATTTCCCCTATTTCACTTGTCTTTAAAAAAAAATTTCACGAAATATTATGTAAGAATTTTTTTTACAAGAATTACAAAACAGATTGTGTTACGTTAATTGTTTTTGACTTTAGTGTGTGTGTATATTTTTTTTTTGTTTAGATTGATACAATTTTTGTTTTCTCGGCCTACATTGTGTGTTTTTTTTAATTTCTACAGAGTGCTACTTTCAATTTATTTTACATCATAGCGAAGTAATGACATACAGCTAGTAATTATATATATATATATATATATATATATATATATATATATATATATATATATATATATATATATATATATATATATATATATATGATACACGTATATAGCACGTGTTACAAAATCGGCGCCTTTTTTTGCTCTTTTCGCTCCCCCTACAACGAAAACCTGGATACGCCTCTGATTAGTATGTTTTATATTATATGAATAATTACTTAAATAATAGGCCTAGTTGTTTTGTTAAATAAAATGACAATAATAATTTAGAAATAGCTTCTTGCATTAAACAAAAAAAAAAAAAAAAAAACAGCTGGCTAAGCCTCATGTGCCCGCTCCCTTGAAACAAAAATGAAAAAAATAAAAATAAACAAGGTAGGTAACCAGAATACTGAAGCATAGGTTTGTCTAAACTTAGACAGCCACCGCGTGAGCTAGTTTTGTTTGGATAAATTAAACACAGATACAAGACCTGGCCTCGCCAACTAGGTCACTCGCACGCGCGAGAGCTGATACTCACCCCCGTTGAGACTTCGTGACAAGATCGGCGCGTGCAGTCACGCGTGTGTGTGTGAACATGCTTATGGTTTTGGGCGTCAGGCTAAAGATTTAGAAAAAAAAATATTGACACTATTATATGAGATTTCTTACTGTTTGGTTTTAATATAGTGTGTACTTTAAAAAATATATATATGTATTGTCTACTTTAAATCGAGGTTTGATTGTCTACTAACGCTGTTTGTTATATATATTTTCACAATGAAAGCTGCGTTTATTAGGCCGGGTATTTACAAAATCAAGAAGTGAAAGCCAGTTGACTCTATGCGTGAATACAATAGACCGTTTTCTTTCAGGAATCTCTTCCAGTACAGTAGCCCCCCCCCCCCTCCCCGCACCACTGGACGAAATAGAGAAAATATACATGTAGGCCTTTAGCAGATATATTTTAAACCAGTGTCCCCCTCCCGGAAATGTGTGTGCACCGCCTCCCCCTCGACAGTTTTAAGTGTCACCTTTCCCCCCAACCGCCACCCCCCCCCCCCCCCATCGGGAAAAATGTTTGAAAGAAACACGTTAGCACACAACTTGTGGATTGTCAGAGTTCATTGATTAAGATTTAAACTAATTCGCATTGAAGAAATATTTTAAAAGTGCATTATGTAATGAGTATAAAACTTTGAAATTTGAAATGTGTTACTTAATCATCATCCTTTTCCTACGTGCCCATGACACTTGGGGCAGAATAAGTAGAGTTCATCTGTTTCAATTTTGATCAACTCGGCATTCAGGAAGATAGTGTGGTCTGCACTATGCCCAGCTGAATTTGCTTCGATGTGAAGGAGGTTTTTTTTTTGTTTTGTTGTAATACTATTATAAACTAATGAATAAAAATATACATGTAAAACACCAGCTATTGCCTATGCACTCTGACAACTATAGACTATAGATACTCTCAGTCCTCCCTAACCCTTACAGTTACTTGCCTATATATAATTGATCT